AGATGTATTGTATGTTTGTCTGTGTTTTTTAAAAAATAAAAAAAAATTGCAAAAAAAAAAGTATTGTTTTGAATGTTGCATTCTTTAGGCCTATATAGAAAATAAATGGATATGGATTGATTATCGACTGTCGTGTGGGCATCAACATCTACTGACATCATAGCTGGACCATCTTCAGGATGATCTGTCCATAACTTAGGCCTTCATATATCTCAGTGACACACACTTTGACACTAGTTGAGTCTATCCACCTTGATGCTGGTCATGTTTTTCTTCTTTTCTTCTACCTTTTCCCAGATCTGTCTAGTACATCTTTTACAACACAATCTGGAGTAACAGGAACTTTCCAAGTAACTCAAGCCCTTTCCCCTCTTTTCTGGACTACTTCAAAATGCTGTACATGGGTGTTTCTTCAAAGATCATTCAGCAGTTTCAATTGGACTAGAATGCAATTACTCAGCTTTTGGTAGGTCAAAGGGATTCTGCGCTGACTTCCTTTGGTCCTTATTAGCTTCTAAATGCAGTTCAAAGTGTTGGTTTTGACCTTTAAAGCCATACATGAGAAACTGATACTGTTGAAGAAGACTGCTGCTGTCAAACCCCGCAATGCTGCCATTGCTCTGCCCGCTACCCTCAATGCTGCCCCCTGCTTCCAACACTACCACCACCTCCATCCTTGATGCTGCTGCCACCCTGCCCTTGGTGCCACTCTGCCTATCCTGCCCTCTGCACCAACACCACATTGACACTCTGGGCCCATCCTGCCCCCAATGCTACCAATGCCCTGCCCCCCAACATTGATACTGCAGACATTGCAGGCCAGACTGAGACCACCTGTAGGCCCTAAAATGACCAGGTCTGGACTAATGTCATTACATTTCCACAGTCTAAATCTAATCCCTTTTAACTTCCATTGACCTTATCTAATGACTGTTTTCTATGTATGGAAGGAACAATCTCCACCCAGGAAGGTAGGTGGCTAAGAAGCAATGAAAGGATACTATTCAAATCTGTATCAGGTCCAATCCTGTTTAACCTCCAAGGCTGTCATAGACTTCCATTTCCTGGGGGACCTATGTTGCTATTAATTTGCCAGTTTTTTTCTCCCACAAAGTGCCCTAGAAGCCCAGACATTTGTTTTGGAAATGTATATAGGCATTCCTGTGTGCGGGAATCAGATCTTTGCAGAAATTAGTACAGCAGAAAATTCAACTAATCCTTTAAGAAAAGACCAGGTAGTGTGACAATGAGACCAACCTAAAATAAATCTTTAATGCTTTGTTTATGCATGCTACAAAATTGTGGGATTTGTGAGTTGCTTGTGTGATGGTGCAGTGGTTAGAGTGCAGTACTGCAGGTTACTTCAGCTGACTGCTAGCTGCACAACAGCAGTTTGAATCTCACTGGCTCAAGGTTGACTCAGCCTTCCATCCTTCCAAGGTGGGTAAAATGAGGACCTAGATTGTTGGGGGGGGGGGCGGCAATATGTTGACTCTGTAACCACTTAGCAAGGGCTGTAAAAGCACCTTGAAGTGGTATATAAGTCTAAGTGCTACTGATGTTCCTATTTCAGACGCAGCCCATTGTGAAAAATGCCCAGATGTTCAGTATTCCCACTTTGAATCATAATAAATGTTTCCCTAAAGTTATAATTTTCCTATCTTATAAAGAAATACTGGGTATCATCCTGACTCGCTTTGTCATTGCTTTATGCATAACTACTTCCTTTATCCTGGGAATCATCATTAAATACTAAGAAACTCCCATAGATAAAGTCAACAATCGTGTATTCAACTACATCCTCCTGGTTTCACTCCTGATTTCTTTCTTGACCTCCATTCTATTCATTGGTTGCCCCATGAAAATGACCTTATTCCTTCGACAAACCATTTTCAGTGTTGTTTTTTCAGTTGCTGTGTCTTGCTGGTCAAGACTGTAATTTTGGTGGTAGTCTTCCAAAGTACAGAGTCTAACACAATATGAGACTGAAAGTCCATTGTAGTAATAACTGTGTGCATGATTTCTGCCATGCCACACATGGTTTTCTATCAGTTTTTGGGGATACCTGTCTTCAAACCTGGTGGGAGCCTCATAGCACAGAGCTCACAGGTGGATTCTGTCAGGAACCACAGCTGCAGAGGTGGGTTTCAGCAGGTTCTGATCAGTTCTGGAGAACCGGTAGCAGAAATTTTGAGTAATTCAGAGAATCGATAAATACCACCTCTGACTGGCCCCGCCCCATTTATTATCTTCCTCCCAAGTCCCAGCTGATCAGGAGGAAATGGGGATTCTGCCGTATCCTTCCCCTGGAGTGGGGTGTGAATGGGGATTTTGCAGTATCTTTCCCCTGCAATGCCCACCAAGCCATGCCCACAGAACCAGTAGTGAAAATTTTTTGAATCCCACCACTGCACAGCTGGCCCATATCTTTGGAGTCCATACTTTGGAGACTAGACCTTTGGAATCAGAGCTTCATCCTTGAAGCAACTGATTGTCCAGGCAATATATATATGACTAATTTATTTATTAATTTACACTCCATCAAACGGTTTCGGAGGATTCAATGGAGAGAGGTCTCAGGTGAACACTTAGCAGAAGAACTCATACCTGTACATCATATAGCAGTGGCCCTGGGCTCAGGTCCTCAAATTTTGTTTAGCCCTTCACCTTCCACCATTGTGGTATTGTACTCATATAGCATCATCTCTTGGTTCTCTACTAAATACCTTGTCTAAGAGACAGCAAATGTCATCATATCAGGAGGAGGAGGAGGAGGCACAGTGGTTAGAATGCAGTATTGTGGGCTATTTCTGCTGCCTGCTGGCTGCCTGCAATTTGGAAGTTCAATTCTCACCGGCTCAAGGTTGACTCAGCCTTCTGTCCTTCCGAGGTCAGTAAAATGAGGACCCAGATTGTTTGGGGCAATAGGCTGACTCTGTCAACCACTTAGACAGGGCTGTAAAAGCACTGTGAAGTGGTATATAAGTCTGCTATTGCTATTGCTATCGTGAAGAAGTCAGTAACGTGCCATTGTTTCAGATTAATGCCCCAGGGAAATTTGACAAGATCTTTATAACATGGGTGGGTTCTAAATTTTTTTTACTATCAGTTCTGTAGGCATGGCTTATTTTATGGGCGTGGCTTGGGGGGGTAATGTGATTGGGCATGGCCAACTTTTTTTTTTTTTACTTTTAAAAGCATTATTTCTACAACCTTAAGAGGTTGCAGAAAAAAATGCTTTTAGAAGCTTCTGAGGATCAGGCAAATCTGCTGGGATCGCCAGAAGCTTTTAAAGGGATTTTTTTTCCCTACAATCTCCTCGGCTGAAGAGGTTGCAGGAAAACATGCTTTTAGAAGCTTCTGAGGATCAGGCAAATCTGCTGGGATCGCCAGAAGCTTTTAAAGGGATTTTTTTTCTCTACAACCTCCTCGGCTTAAGAGGTTGCAGAAAAACATGCTTTTAGAAGCTTCTGACGATCAGGCAAATCTGCTGGGATCGCCAGAGTCTTTTAAAAGGATTTTTTTCCTACAGCCTCTTTGGCTGAAGAGGTTGCAGAAAAAATGTTTTTAAAAGTTAAAAAAAAAAGCCTCTGATGAGGAGTAAGCAAGCGGCGACCGGGCTGGGGACCAGTTCAGGGGTGTGGCCAGCCAATGTTATTACTGGTTCTCTGAACTACTAAATTTTTTTACTACCGGTTCTTGTGAAATGGTGCAAACTGGGAGCAACCCACCATTGCTTTATAACCATGAAGACTGAGTGTTTAGAGTTTAGAGTTTATTGGATTTCTATACCACCCTTCTCCCAGAGGATTCAGGGTGGTGTACAGCCACATTAAAACACATGAATTTATAAAATTTAAAACCAATTAAAACAAATATATACAATTTGGCCCTGATAGTCTCTTCTACATTTTGAAAGATACAAGACATTTAACAGGGGGCTCCAATAGGTTGTTCAATATGTTATGATCTGGAATTAGCCATTCTGGATTATCTAACCCAGCAGTGGGATTCAAATTATTTTACTATCAGTTCTGTGGGTGTAGCTTAGTGGGCATGGCATGGCTTGGTAGGTGTGGCTTGGTGAGCATGGCAGGGGAAGGATATTGTAAAATCTCCATTCCCTCCCCACTCCAGGAAAAGGTTACTGCAGAATCCCCATTTCCTCCCGATCAGCTGGGATTCAGGAGGCAGAGAATAGATGGGGGCTGGGCCTGTCAGACATGGTATTTAACAGTTCTCCGAACTACTAAAAATTTCTGCTACTGGTTCTCCAGAACTGGTCAGAACCTGCTGAATACCATCTCTGACCTAACCTTCATTGAAGAAGATGGCCTCATCCACATCAGACAAAATAAGAAGGAATTATAATGGCCCACTGCCTAGTTCAAGAGTGTTGAACTGTTTTTCCACATTTTAATCTTTACAATCTCAAGAATAAATTTGGAGACTAAAAACAATCAAACTTCCCTGAATTGTTCCTTTCTCGACTCTCAAATTAGGATTATTCTCCTGAGTCAAACAAAACACTTTTCTCCAACGGCACACTTTTATGGCGAAGGCTCATTCCCAATTCCCCTTCTAATGATTAAAATCATGATTATTTATTCTCCTTTGAACAAGGTTCATGGGATTTCCACCACTACAATTAGTTGCCAATCAATGTGACAACAAATGGGATAGACAGCATGTAATAATCTGATTTGTAACAGCCTCCTGCAATGAAATCAGAGTTTGGGGTATAGCTGGGCAAATATTGTAGCAGTCTGAAATTGCAGGTAGCTCTTCCAAATCTGGAGGCAGCTCTTCCAAATCTGGAGGCAAACTGGACCTTCTTCACTGTAGTTGTGGTCCTTTTGTGATCTCTGAGATTTAGCTCTGTGCTGAAAAAAGAACTCCAAGAAGGATCTCCTGCAATATACTGTATGTCAAATGTTGCTGCTGCTGCATACACAGCTTTTTCTGCTTCAGTTTCTGTCTCAAATTCCCTGTGCCGGTACACTGATGAAATGTCCATTTAAGGTGATCATAGAAGAAAAGGAGTGGTTCCATTACTACAAGCCAGGAGACTACTGGATTACTGGAATAATGTCTGGAGTTGTAGCTCGATTGTATCAATTTTCGTTTTCCAAGCCTCCAACCCACCAACTGAAAAGGTAATTGTCAGCTTGTCCAAGAATTCTGGTGATTGATTTTACCTGCTCCAATGTCTTTTCTATACACACACACATATAATTTTTAAATTTTTCTTTTAATACAAAAATTCCCTCTTTCAGTAAACAGTGTGTCATCAGAGTATGTATTTTTGTGTCATGACAATTAATATTTACCACCATATTCATTATTTGTATCTATTCTTATAATACTACTAATATTTAACATACCTATTATTATATTTATTATATTATATTTAATATAAATATTATTATATTTATTATATTATATTATTATATTTGTGATAGACTCACAAAGGAATTACAAAATAGGGAAGAACGTGACTTTTACTTAGTATGGGAAAAGTGGTATAGTTGGTTGAAAGATAGGAAAGAGATGAAGCAATAGGAAGTAAATAAAATGACCAAATATAATATGATGGAAACAAAGAACAGACATAGGTCAACAAAGATCAATATTAGATAGATAAAAGGGAATGACCAAATAAGGAAGAGTCAAAATACAAAGAGAAATGTATATTATAGTTGTGACAAACTCGACATGTATTGAAATGGATGTTTATATGTTTTTATGTTTTGTACGTTTCATTGTTCTGTTTAGTTTATACTTATTTAAAAAAAAACCATGCTAAGGCAGTCACAGATTGTCACAACATCTCTCCAATCTCATTATACTCTGATTTAGGATGTTGCCTGAAGTCGACAAGTTAGCTACTAGCACTTATTTAAAAAAAAGAGATCTAGTTTTACTGTTAGTTATTTCTCATGGAACATAACTTACTTGGCATTCCCCACCCACAAGATTAGCAAAAATAAGCAAAAAACATTCATCGATGTGTTGGGAGTGTGAGGTAGTGCCAGGGACCTTTTATCACATGTGGTAGGAATGCCCAAAAGCTGAAAGATTTTGGCACCAGATAAGACAATGGATAGAGGAGATACTAATGCAAAATATAGAAGCAAAACCAGAATTCTTTTTGCTGGGTATTATTGAGGGTAAATACAATAAGAGCACAATTTACCTAATGTTACACATTCTAACAGCAGCAAGATTAGCTTTTGCACAAAATGGAAAAACAAAGAGACTCCCACAGAAGAAGAAGTGTTAGCTAAAAATTATTTTGTATGGAAATGGACAGACTGACCTTGGAACTTAAAGATAAGGATGAATCAGAGTATTATGAAATCTGGAACAAATTTTATTATTGTCTGGAAAGGACGAGAAATGCTGGGATATAGGACCATTGACGAGTAAAATGTTTGGAAGTTTTTATGCTAATTTGTTATGATAGATACGACTGAATTAGATATTGAAATAATTTATATGGATGAAAGAATATACGTATTTGAAATGTGATAATTAGTGTAAATAAGTGTATTATTTATATGACAAAATTTGATGAAAATATTTAAACCGGAGATGTCACGCTATGTCCATTGTTTTTAATTTGTATTATAAATAAAAAAACTTTTTTAAAAAATGGAAAAAAAACCATACCTATTATTATAACATTTCTTTTCTTAATTTCATATTTATCCTCTAACCATTGATAGAATAACTCCCATATATTGTAATAATGAGATTCCTCCTTTCCTTTGATTGCAAGTGTTAATCTATTCATTTCTGTACATTCTAATATTTTCTTAATCATATTTTCATCTGTGAGGATCTTTTCACTTTTCTAATTTTGTGCAAATACCCTGTTTCCCACAAAATAAGACATTCCCTGATAATAAGCCCAATCGGGCTTTTGAGCTCATGGCAATAAGGCCAAGCACTTATTTCAGGATTAAAAAAATATAAGACAGAGTCTTATTTTGGGGAAAACACGGTACAAATCTAGCTGCAGTTATTAAATGAATGATCAAGTATACATTTTCTTTACTATAAGTTTCTGATAGAATCCCCAACAGGAATAGTTCAGGTTTTAAATTGATATGTTGCTGTGTCATCTTCTCCAACCACATACCTCCAATGTCTTTTTAGGAATGATTTCCTTTCCCCTATTCCTCACCTTGAGAAAGGCAAGTCATTATTGCTCATCCCAATTTGCTTTAGAGGAAAGGCTCCTGGGAACCTGATGATTTTGTAAAACCTGAGTTTGCAAAGTTTCTTTTTAAGTTGAATGAATCTTGCCTGGATGGGGTTCTGCCTCCTTTCAAAATGACTACCTTGGGACTGTGGAGAGTCAGCAACTTATTTATTCATATCTATTTCATTTATTTATTAAGAATAGTTAAACAGAAACTGTCAGCCTCAGCTTTTCTGCTTTAGCTGCCATAAGAAACGGGGAGGGATTAGGTATGGAGCAAAGGGGGGGAAGAGAGCAGGAGGGGGTTTGTCTTTGTAGGAGGGGACTTCGTGGGAATCGAAACTGGATTTCAGAAGGGGATGGCTGACCAACTGTCTCGACATTCCTGATGGATGACGCTGCCAGACGTGTTGCCACCTGACCTTTGGAAGACCTTTAGATTGGCTGAGAAAATATAAACACGAGGGGGGGAAGAAGCTTAGTAGATGATTTTTGCGCGTTTTGATCACTTCCAGCTTTTCCTGGGCTGTTAATCTTTCATATTCAGTAAAAGTACCAAATTCTTCAAAATGCTTGAGTTTGGGGTTTTCTTTCCTGGATACTGAAGGAAGCATACCTGACATTAAGCTGGAAGTCATCCCAGTCATCCCGGACAAAACCCGAGGGGACTGAAAATCCAAAGTATGTCAGATCGAGGGAGTGATGAAGAAGGGAAGATGGGGGCAGCGAGTTCAACCGCCCTCCAGTCGGAAAGAGAAACTGCAGAATGGCTGGAAAAACTCCGTTTGGAGCCGGAGGAAGCTAGATGGTCCAAAGGAGTGGGGAGACTGCCGGACTGGGGGGAGAATCCCCGGGAAGTGACGACTTCCAGACCCCGAAAAAGGGAGGCAGTGTGGATGCAACAGCAGAAGGAACGTCTCATGATAGATAAGCCTTGCAGCTTATCCGTGATGTGGAAGAAAGCAGAAAAAACCGTGAGTCTTTTGAAATTCCTGTGGAGAAGGGGGAAGCAGACCCCAGGGGGGAGGCCGAAGAGACAGCCTGCAGGGGAGAGGAAGAGTTTGAGGAGGGAACATCCCAGGCTTCGGCAGCTCGAGGGAGAGATGCAGCCGGCCAGAGAACCCCAGCCCTGCAGCCCCCCCCCACAGACGTAAAAAGCCAAAAATCCCCCCCCTTCCTGGGAAGTTTGATGGAAATCCTAAAACCTTGGGATTTTTCCTGACCCAAGTGTGGAACCACATGCAGGATTGGGGGGAGGACTACGAAACAGAGGCGGCTAAAGTCAGAAGCGTTGCGAATGCCCTAGAGGGAGTGGCGGCTGAGTGGATGGTGGTTCTCCACAATAACAACTCCCTCCTGCTGAGAAATTACAACCAGTTCATGAGGGCCCTTAGAAGGCATTTTGAAGACCATTTAGCTGAACGAAAGGCGAGACTCAGAATGAAGAGCATTCAGCAGGGCCGGAGGCCGGTGGCAGAGTATATCCAAGAGTTTCGTGAACTGGCACCTTATATGACAGGCTGGTCAGAAATGGCTCTTTTGGAGAGTTTCAAGGATGGATTGAATGAAGAGATATATCGAGATTGCAGGAGCATGGGGGTCCCCGATGATTTGGATAGATGGTACATAGTAGCTGAGGATGTGGAGATCGAGCTGAAACGGAGCGAACTCCGAGGAAGGCGGATGGGGGACCAGTCATCCTCTTTCTACCGTAAGGGGGCGGCCAAGATGACTGGCAGGAAGACCGAATTCAAACCCAAGTCAAAGCCCTTCACCTGTTTCAAATGTGGGAAGGAGGGTCACTGGGCAGCCAAATGTTTCTCCAAACCACCGCCAAAAGCCACCGGGGCCAGCCAAAAGAAAAGCGATAAAATACCCGCCAAAACCCGCGGCACCGCCCTGAAAGGAGAAGTCGTTGAGTTCACTCCCCGGAACCAGCGTGAGTTGGGAACTCCGACCAACGATGACAATAGCGAGACGGACTCCGACTCTGACACCGACGAACGGGTGAGTCACACGGAAGAACCCTTACTCATCCCCGTAGAAGTAAGGGTGCCCTCCACAGGAACTCACGCGCAATTGTTAGCCCTATTGGACTCGGGGTGCACTAGGTGCATAATTAGCCCCAAAGTAGTGGAGGAAATGGGACTGAGACTGAAAACTTTAAAAAGACCCATTGCATTTTGTCAATTAGATAGGTCGATTGCAGGAGGGGGCCCAGCTAGTTTTATGACCGAACCCCTTGAACTACAGTTGGGGAATCATGTAGAGAAGCTCAGTTTTATCGTAGCACCTGGCATGGAAAGACCCCTGATTCTAGGACTGCCCTGGCTTCGTAAATGGAACCCACGAGTAAATTGGAAAACGGGGGTCCTGCGCATCCGTACGGCAGACCCACCTCCGGAAAAGGAAGGCCCCTCCCTAAGGGATGACATAAGACCAGAAGGGGCAGCAGTAGCCATTAACTATATTGAGGGAGAAGAGAAAATTCCGAAGGAATATTGGGACCTCAAGGAAGTGTTTAGTGAAAAAGCATCGGATGCTCTGCCTCCCCACAGGGCCACTGACTGCACCATTGAAATACTCCCAGGGGTGAAGCTTCCCAAACCAAAAATATACCCCATGACACCTCGAGAATTGGGGGAATTGCGAAATTTTATTGACAAAAACTTAGAACGGGGATTTATCGAACGAGCCAAACCCAAGGTAGCAGCGCCAGTAATGTTCCGCGAAAAGAAAGATGGATCCTTCAGATTAGTTGTTGATTATAGAAACATGAACGCCATTTGTGTGGAAAATGTCTATCCCCTCCCACTTATGAAGGACATGTTGGCCCATTTAGGAAAGGGAAATTTTTTTTACCAAACTTGATTTAAGAGAGGCATACTACCGAGTGAGAATAAAAGAGGGAGATGAATGGAAGACAGCATTTAATTGCCCACTGGGATGTTTCCAATTTAGAGTACTCCCTTTTGGACTACAGGGGGCCCCGGCCGTATTCATGCAGTTGATCAACGAAGTGTTGCATGAGCATCTATATAAGGGGGTGTTGGTCTATTTGGACAATATTCTAATTTATTCTGACAACATGGCCGACCATATAAGATTGGTTCGAGCGGTCTTGAATAAACTCAGAGCAGCTGAACTCTATGCCAAACTTTCTAAATGTGAATTCCATCAAGACAAAATCGACTATCTTGGATATCGTATATCGCATGAGGGGATAGAGATGGACCCGGAAAAGGTCCGGGCAGTAATGGAATGGGCCGCACCACGCACCCGTAAACAGTTACAGAGTTTCTTAGGGTTTGCTAATTTTTATAGACAATTTATCCCCTCTTTCGCAAAAATCACACTGCCAATTACAAACTTGCTCAAAACCAAAGGGGAAATAAAACCCAAACCCTCGAAACCACTAGAATGGACTATGGACTGTCAGGCTGCTTTCAAAAAACTGAAACGGTTGTTTGCAGCTGAACCTGTGCTCAAACACCCCGACATAGAACAACCTTTTGTAGTACAAGCGGATGCTAGCGATGTGGCCGTAGGAGCAATACTCTTGCAAAAGAATGAGAATGGAATATTACAACCCTGTGCTTACACATCCCGTAAACTATCTGAGACAGAAAGGAGATGGGCCATATGGGAGAAAGAAGCGTTTGCAGTTAGATGGGCGCTGTTAACATGGAGACAATTTTTAGAAGGGGCAAAACACCCTTTCGAGGTGTGGACTGACCATAAGAATCTAGAAGCACTAAAAACACCATGCAAATTGTCACCCAAACAGGCACGCTGGGCCCAACATTTCAAGCGTTTCAATTTCACTTTACGTTATCTTCCTGGGGGAAAAAATTTCATGGCGGACGCACTTTCCAGATTACCACAGTACAACAGCATAAAGAAGGAAGTGGTTCAACCAATGATCCCCTTAACACAATTGGCAACACCTGTCACTACCAGAGCACAGAGTAAAACCGATCCAGAACTCTCAGGGGATTTACTCGAAAAGTTACGAGAAGTGCTAAAAGCTGACAAGTGGTTTAAAATCCACTCGAATGAATGCACACTTCGCGATGGACTACCTTGGGTTGGATCAAAATTGTATGTTCCGACCACATTAAGACCAACCGTATTGAAATATGCGCATGATGCCAAAGCCGCAGGACACTTTGCGTTTGTCAAAACTTTACATCTTGTTAAGAGACAGTTTTGGTGGTCTGCACTAAAAAAGGACATACAGGCATATGTGGCTAGCTGTCCAGTATGTGCCTCGGCTAAAAGACCTCCAGGAAAATCCCCTGGATTACTGCAAAGTGTGGCTAGACCAAACACCCCATGGAAGGAAATATCTATGGATTTTATTGTGGACTTACCAGACAGTGAGGGCTGCACTGTCATTTGGGTAGTAACTGATTTGTTTTCCAAACAAGTACATTTCATACCTTGCTCAAAGATCCCTTCAGCAAAAACCCTCGCAAAATTGTTTATTCGGCAGATTTACCGACTACATGGGTCTCCAAAAAGAATAATTTCTGACAGGGGTGTGCAATTTACTTCCAGGTTCTGGAGAGAATTTTTAAGATTGATAGGTTCCGCACAGGGGTTGAGTTCCAGTCACCACCCTCAGACAAATGGCGCTTGTGAAAGAACCAATGGGGTGCTCGAACAATACCTTAGGTGTTACGTGAATTACCAACAGGACAATTGGGTAGACTTGTTACCATTTGCAGAAGTGGCATATAACAATTCTGTACACAGTAGCACCGGATTCACCCCTTTTAAGGTTGCATCGGGCCAGGATTTTGTACCCATTCCCGAGTTACCTCAAGATGATCCCCAAAATCCCTCCTTGATAGATTGGATGGAACAACTAAGGAGCACCTGGACAGTGACTCGGAAGGCATTATATGAGGCACACCGAGCTCATAAGGCACAAGCCGATAAGAAAAGGTCCCCAGCTCACATTTATAAAGTGGGGGATAAAGTCTATTTGTCTACCAAATACTTACAAACCACCCAGAAGTCTAAAAAGCTGGGGCCTAAGTATGTAGGACCATTCCGTGTGATTAGACTGATAAATCCAGTGACAGTGGAATTGGAATTGCCAAAAACCTTGAGACGGATACATCCTGTATTTCATGTTAGTTTATTGAAACCTGAACACTCATCTCCCCTAAGGGCTGATCATAGCAACCCTCCAATTCCCATCCTCATAGAAGGGGAGCAACATTTTGAGGTTAAGGAAATCTTGGACTCTAGAAAACACCATGGTAAAGTCCAATATCTGATTGCCTGGAAACATTTTCCACTATCTCAGGCTGAATGGGTAAATAAACGGGATGTCCGAGCTCCCAAGAAAGTACAACAGTTCTATGCCAAATACCCTGATAAACCTTGATCATTGTATATATTCTGTTTCTCTTTCTCTTTCTTCCTTTTTATTTAGGACTAACGTCTCTTCTGCAAGAGGGGCCGAATGTCAGCCTCAGCTTTTCTGCTTTAGCTGCCATAAGAAACGGGGAGGGATTAGGTATGGAGCAAAGGGGGGGAAGAGAGCAGGAGGGGGTTTGTCTTTGTAGGAGGGGACTTCGTGGGAATCGAAACTGGATTTCAGAAGGGGATGGCTGACCAACTGTCTCGACATTCCTGATGGATGACGCTGCCAGACGTGTTGCCACCTGACCTTTGGAAGACCTTTAGATTGGCTGAGAAAATATAAACACGAGGGGGGGAAGAAGCTTAGTAGATGATTTTCGCGCGTTTTGATCACTTCCAGCTTTTCCTGGGCTGTTAATCTTTCATATTCAGTAAAAGTACCAAATTCTTCAAAATGCTTGAGTTTGGGGTTTTCTTTCCTGGATACTGAAGGAAGCATACCTGACAGAAACTCCCAATTAAGTGATTGAATGATACCTTAGAACAGAGTGAGATCTCTTGAATTTTCTCCCCAATGTTTCTTCCCCTTCCTTACATTTACTCTATAATTCCTACCACCCTCTCCGCTCTTTCTTTCCACCCTTTAACACTTTTGCCACTTTAGTGGCTTCCCTGTTCCTTTTGGTTTAAATAAAAGGGATACTTTTTAAAAACCAAATTCAAGGAGGGGAGAGACTTTATGTAATAAGTTAATGTTTAGTTGCAGAGGAATCACATTAACTGTAGTTAACTGTAGAATATAGGACAATAACTCTAAAGCCGTGAATGTTGTTGTTGTTAGTTATGAAGTCATGTCCAGCCTATTGCAACCCCATGGACAACATTACTCCAGGCCTTCCTGTCCTCTACCATCCCCCAGAGTCCATTTAAGCTCACGCCTACTGCTTCAGTGATTCCATCCAGCCACCTCGTTCTCTGTCACCCCCTTCTTCTTTTGCTCTCAATCGTTCCCAGCATTAGGCTCTTCTCCAGTGAGTTCTTCCTTCTCATTAGGTGGCCAAAGTATTTGAGTTTCATCTTCAGGATCTGGTCTTTTAAAGAGCAGTCAGGGTTGATCTCCTCTAGGACTGAACGGTTTGATCACCTTGCAGTCCAAGGGACTTTCAGGAATCTTCTCCAGCACCATAGTTCAAAGTATAGTAGCTCATTATCTTTTTGGCATTGCAGTATATAGATATAAAGCTACAGTAAATATGACATGCTTTCATGAAAATCCAAACTGAAGATAATGAAATTTCTTATGTTGCAGTGAGAACACCACCTCTCACCTTCTGCCCTACTTGTTGGCTGTTCATGAAGTCAACCAGAATTCAAGGCTCTTACCCAACATCACCCTGGGCTACAACATCTATCAGAACTTTTTCAGTGCAAGAATGACATATGAGGCCATGCTGGATGTGCTGTCTACAGGACAGGAGAACATCCCAAACTACAGATGTGGAAAAGAAAAGAACCTGCTGGCGATTCTTGAAGAGATGGATTCTGAACTCTTTGATCATATTTCCAATGTCCTGAGCATCTACAAATTTCCACAGGTATAAAGCCAAATGAAATTAATTCTGTGTAGTAAATTGTTCAAATTTGCCTAGAAGGCAGCACTTGTATATATTTCTCCAAACAAATTCAAAGTCAGAGAGTAAATATAAGAAGAGCTGAAAGAATTTTTAATTCACAAAGTATGTGTGTGTGTGTGTGTGTGTATACATACATATGTGTAGATCGATCGATAGATATAAATATATACACATATACATACACATATACATATACATACATATATATATACACATACACATGTATGTATATGCTACACACACACACACACACACACACACACACACACACACACACACACACATAAGTGAAAACCACTCACACTGCGATCATGCCGTAAAGCCTACAAACTTGAAATTTGGCACATATGTTCCTCTTGGCTTCTAAGTGCTCACTAAGAAAGGATTTTTCAAAATGACCATCAGATCATTAGTATTTTATATACAGTATATTCATATATAGTATATTAACACTCTCTGATTCTAAGGAGTTAGATGTTCTACTCCCCCTTCCCACCTGAAAAGCTCCAACTGCCACTTGCCTCACATTCCGTTACCTCAGTTCAAACTGGCAGACATTCCAATCCTTCACTCAGGAGCGGTCTGGGCTTTATTATTATTATTATTATTATTATTATTATTATTATTATTATTATTATTATTATTATTATTATTATTATTATTATTATTATTATTATTATTATTTGAATTTCTATACCGCCCTTCTCCCGAAGGACTCAGGGCGGTGAACAGAATAAGATTTCATATACATATAATAATTTATTTATTTATTTTATAAACAGTAAATAATAAATTGAGTCAACTTAGTGTATCTGCTAAAACCTTGGCATAGAATTTAGATGTTTATGCTAGCCCTGCTTGTTGAAACAGAAAGGTCTTCAGGGCATGTCGGAAAGTGTGAAGATCTGGGATTATTCGTATTCCAGGGGGTATTTTGTTCCAAAGAGTAGGTGCCCCCACAGAGAAGGCTCTCTCCCTTGGAACTACTAGACAACATTGTTTTAATGATGGTACTATGAGTAGGCCTACTCTGTGAGAGCGTATTGGTTGGTGGGAGGTTATTGGTTCCAGCAGGTGGTCTCGTAAGTACTCAGGTCCTAAGCCATGGCGCACTTTAAAGGTAAGAACCAACACCTTGAAGAGCACTCGGAAGGCCACCGGAAGCCAGTGCAGCTCGCGTAGAAGAGGTGTTACATGTGAGCGCCATGTTGCTCCCATAATTACTTGCGCGGCCGCATTCTGGACCAGTTGGAGCTTCTGGGTGTACTTCAAGGGGAGCCCCATGTAGAGAGCATTGCAGTAGTCAAGTCGTGAATGATGAGGGCTTGAGTGACTGTGCCTAATGAGTCCCGGTCTAGAAAGGGACGCAATTGGCAAGTCAGGTGAACCTGATAGAAAGCTCCTTTGGCCATGGCTCTTATATGATCTTCTAAAGACAGTCGTGCATCCAGGAGGATGCCTAAATTTCGAGCTTTCTCTGCGGGGATCAATGACTCATCCCCAATAGTTAGTGATGGGACTAACTGTCTGTACCGGGATGCCGGCAGCCACAGCCACTCAGTCTTAGAAGGGTTGAGTCGAAGCCTGTTTTTCCCCATCCAGACCCGCACGGCCTCAAGGCACCGGGACATCACTTCAAGGGCATCATTGGGGTGGTTTGTGGTGGAGATGTACAGCTGAGTGTCATCAGCGTACAGATGACATCGCACCCCAAAACCACGGATGATCTCCCCCAATGGCTTCACATAAATGTTGAACAGGAGAGGCGAGAGGACCGACCCCTGTGGCACCCCGCAAGTAAGGGGCCTCGAGGTCAATCTCTGTCCACCTGTCAACACTGACTGTGACCTGTCAGAGAGGTAGGACGAGAACCACTGTAATACGGTGCCTCCCACTCCCAGCCCCTCCAACTGGTGCAGTATGATACCATGATCAATGGTATCAAAAGCCGCTGAGAGATCTAATAGGACCAGGATAGAGGAACATCCCTTATCCCGAGCCCTCCAGAGATCATCAACCAACGCAACCAATGCTGTTTCTGTGCTGTATCCAGTCCTGAAGCTGGACTGGAAGGAGTCTAGATAGACAGCTTCATCCAGGTACTGTGGGAGCTGTCGTGCCACCACACTTTCGACAACCTTTGCTAAAAAGCGAAGGTTGGAGACTGGACAGTAGTTTGCTAAAATAGCCGGATCCAGAGAGGGCTTCTTAAGGAGGGGTCTCACGACCTCCTCTTTCAAGGCGGGAGGTAAGAATCCCTCACTCAGAGAAGCTTTAATAATTCTCTGGAGCCAGCTACATGTAACCTCCCGGGTAGCCAGCACTAGCCAGGAAGGGCATGGGTCCAATAAACATGTGGTCGCATTCAGCTTCCCCAGTAACCTGTCCACGTCCTCAGAAGTCACAGTATCAAACTCATCCCAGATAATCCTCAAGATCTGCCCTCGTCATTTCATCTGAATTAACCCAGTTAGAGTCCAAGCCTTCCCGAATCTGAGCAATTTTATCATGCAGATATTGTGCAAAATCCTCAGCTCATCCTTGCAGAGGGTCTTCCTGGGCTCTCAGCTGGAGTAGAGAGTGGGTAACCCTAAACAAGGCGGCTGGGCAATTATCTGCAATAAGAGTGGAATAAGAGTGGAAAAATAGTTACATTTTGCCGCTTTTATTGCCACTAAGTAGGTCTTAATATAAGATCTCACTAGTGTTGGGTCGGATTCGGAACGGCTGGTCCTCCAACTGCTCTCTAGGCATCTTTTCTGACGTTTCATCCCCCTCAGCTCATCAGAGAACCAAGGAGCTGGGTAGGTTCGACGCCGGGTCAGAGGCTGCAAAGGCACAACCTGGTCTAAAGCACCAGCAGCCATCCTATCCCAGGACGCCACTAGGTCTTCAGCCGAGTCATGAGCCAAGGTCTCAGGAAATGGCCCAAGTTCCATCCGGAACCTATCAGGATCCATCAGGCACCTGGGGTGGAACCATTTAATTGATTCCGCCTCCCTGCGGTGGGTTGTAGTGGTCAGAAGGTCAAGCTTAAAAAGAGAATGGTCTGACCATGACAAGCGTTCGATGACTATATCCCCTATATCTAGACCATTCAGCCACTGGTCAGAGATAAAGATCAAATCCAGAGTGTGTCCCCCTGTGTGAGTAGGACCATGAACTAATTGGGTCAGGTCCATGGCCGTCATGGAAGCCATAAACTCCCGAGCCCCTTCAGATGTTTCACCAATGGATGGCAGGTTGAAATCTCCCATAACCAGTAGCTTAGGAGTTTCAACTGCCACCTCGGCTATTACGTTGAGGAGCTCAGGCAGGGCTGCTGATATGTGGCAGGGAGCCAGGTATGCAATCAACAGGCCCATCTGTAACCCATAACCCCACTTCACAAGGAGGGACTCACATCCGGTTGTCTGTGGGACAGTGACTTCCCACAGACAACTTCAGTGAAGTCCCACAGTGACTTCCCTAGGATCAAGACCTTCCTTTATAATGACCACAACACCTCCACCCCTGCCCCAAGTCCTTGGCTGATGGAATGCGCGGAAACCTGGTGGGCACATTTCTACTTCATTGCCTAACCAGGTCTCTGTAATACCTGCCAGGTCTGCTTTCCCCTCCTGAATTAGGTCACAAATGAGGGGGGCTTTGTTAGCTGCGGACCTGGCATTGCATAACATCAGCCTAAGACTCGGGCTCTGAGACCTTGAGCAACCCAAGGAACGAGAAGAGCTTTGGAGGTCGGAGCATGCTACTGCTTGAAGATAGTGGGTGCGTACCCCCCTGACATGATGTGGCCTCCTGCTCCCACCATATCTGCCCCTCCCAACCATAACCTTGATGGAACAGCCCATTTCCATCCAGTATTAAGTCTGCCTATTCCCAGTTCCGAGTTTCCTATGATGTAATTTTGTGTTGACTTTGGCTTCACTTTTGGAAAATTATTTGCTAATCCCTCCCTCTGTGGATTACCCCCCAAATCCACATGATCCACCCTTTTTATACCCACCCCCCTTTCAGAAGCCATTAAAATTTTGGTTAGAAAATTAGATAAGAAAGCCCTTAATCCCCTCTTAGCACCGTGCCACCTCTCGGGATTCCAAAATCCGTTATCAAGGTAGGCCCTCGATAATGTGGAGGGCCAAATTTGTGAGAGGGGGGAATCTCTCAATGCCAAGAGTTCGGTCGCCAAATACATCTAGTAAGTCAGATGGGTATAGCAGTTGGGTCTGGTCCAACAGTCTGATGTAAGAGTCTTGAGGCAGACGAGTAATATATTCAGTGTGGGTAAGAAACTGGTCTCCCTTGCCCTTTCATGGCAGGGGGAAGGAGTTTAGTGCTATCTCAGGATGGACAGAGGATAAAAATCTAGTCATCCTCTCACAGCGGCTCGTTCTGAATGAGATAGTCGTAATAAATTTGTTGTTCTGTCTGCTCAAATGTCAGTAATTCAAAACTCCCTCAGCATCCACATTAGTAGCTGCCCAGACAACGTATGACAAGAGGGTGGCTCAGTTGGAAATAAAGCCAAACAGTGAAGGTAGAATGATAATAGCTCCATGGGGGGTGGGGGAGATGTATATAAAGAGGGCAGGTAGTCTAGGTGGTGAATGTATAGTCTGGAGGCAGCTAGGTCAGTGTCAAATCAAGGTGGTAATGTATAAGCTGGAGGCAGCTGGGTTAGGGACTGGCCGAGGCAGAGAATTGAGAAAGGTGGGGGAGGCCTCCAAGGTGACCAGGTAGATAGTCTTTTGTCAACCTCTGGCCTCTCCTACTCTCGGCATATTGAATAGTCATCTGCATATATTGCCAGGCTCCAGACTTTAGATTATAATGATGTCTCCCAATTCCAGCAAGGGTCTAAACATCTTGCATGATTCAGGGCACTCAAGGCACTCCAGGGGTTAATAGTTTTTAGATTCCCTCTGATGATGTTGCAAGCTGTCACTGGTCTTAGCTAAGGCCTCTCGAAGAGGTAGTCATTACCGCCCCAGCAGCTATCATCAGTGAGGGCAGCTTCAGGTTTCCCGGCAAGTGCCCAAACCAATTCAGAGCCCCCAGGGTGTCTAGGGCTCGACAGGGACTGCCATGGTGCCGTTCGTCGCCGCCGCCCGCCGCCATTGTTGTTCCAACTGCCGTTGCTTTAAGAATGGAGGAACTGATGTAACTGCCATTAACGGAACTGCTAGAGTTAGCCTCCCATGGTGCCTTCACATGCCAATATCTGCCCAGCTCCGATGATCCAGACGGTAAGAGAAACCTTGTTGAGCTGGGAAAAGGCTCCCCTAGTTGGTGCTGGGGCTGAAGGGAGTTAAATCAGCCCCGGTGGACCTCCAAACAACCCAAAGCCGCCCCATCATCAGACGGAGATTAGGTGAGAGGTGCCATATTGGGGCATGCGCATGCATGATTTACAGTACTAAATGTCGCTACCTCACCAAAATGTCTACGCCTTCCACCTATGAAATTGCTTCCGAACTCAAGACGGCAGGAGCAATATTCCCTGATGAGTTTCAGTCACCGACCACCACTGAGCCAATGGATTGTGAACCAAATTTCTCCTACATAGTGTCCCATAGAGTCCCAAATCACTTCTTAAACTGGCCTCCTCTGTTCAGACGAATCTGTTCCTTCTACTGTAATATCAGTTAAAAGGAAAAGGCTGTCTTTTTGCTGCCTGGAAGTACAACGGATGCTTCAAAATGATGTCTTTTGGAGCCAGAGAGGTGAAGGAGGGAAATTTTATGCCAACATTCAAAGTTCAGGGACAGGTCTACCACAGGACAGGGAGTATCATGGCAGGGCCTCAGCAGCAGCCTTCATCTCTCCAGATATACTTTGTTGGTGATGATGACAATGAGAGTCTGTCAAGACCATGGGGATGCTACAATGGTCATAAGTGTGAAAAATGGTCATAAGTAGTGAAGCACAGGTATCCAGCTAGTGTGTGTGTGTGTGTATACACACACACACACACACACACATATACACACATATGTATGTATATGCATGTATATGTATATGTGTATATATGTGTGTGTACACACACACACACAAGCATGTGCATTGTATATATATGTGTATACATATACATATACACATATACACACATAATGTCATACTTTACAACTCACCCTCAAGTTATCAATATAATAGAGCCTGCCAATTATATTCGTAACTCGAGGATCCGTTTGATTGAATCACATTAAATAAACATGATCCCTCCCTGATTTGCCCAATGCATTTGCTAATCAAATACACAGGTCGTTAAACGCACATGAGGTATCTCAGGGTGGGGAAGACCATGCAGAGCCTAGTGTTGGAAGAGGCCACCCAAAGTCTCCCCCGATACCTCATGCTCAATCCCTTGGGGTCCCCATAGTTTCTTTCCCCACACATCCTGCCCTGGGTCTCCACAGGCACTGGGTCGTCTTTGCTAGCCTCCTAGATCCACTTCCTTCCTACATCCCATTTCCCAAGGATTGCTTATTTTTTGAAGATCTCCAGATCTACAGAAGAGGCTGGTCCACTGGCAGAGAGGCTAAAGTGTTTTATTCAAATGATGGCAAAGCTGTAAGAATGTGAAATCTAAGGAAAACATTTTCACCAGTTTCTGGGTAAAAGACTTTGGCTTCGGGGCATGTAGGCAGCAGGCCTCTGGTAGTAGAAAAGGCCTGGGCATGACCATTGGGAATTTTGAAAATTATGACTTTTGAAAAGTAAGACTTTGTCATAGAATGTATGAGGGTTGAATCAGTGACTTTTAAACACTTTGAAAATTTAGTGACCAATACAAGAGATTTTTTCCCACAGAATCATAGAATAAAAAGTACAACTCCTTACACAGAGGAGGAATGGTCAGACCACTACAGCCAAATTGCTGTCCAAGTTTTCCTTGAAAATATCCAGCAATGGAGCTCCAGGAGGCAGGCTGTTCCAACTCTTCATAACTCTCACAGTGAGGAATTCCTCGTTTTTTTATAATCTTGAAATTGAAGTAAAAAAATTCAAAAGAAAGATATGAAGAAAACAATGAATATGTTAGGTGTTTTGTGCCTGCCATGGCAGTCTCTTCAAAGGCGACCAGATGGGGGCAAAGAGGCAAGTTTGATCCCACTGGTGGGTCAAGGGGCTCCAGCCCCTGCAGCCCCATTGGGGAAAGTTAATGGCCCTCCGGCCCCCTCACACACCTTGTAAGGAAGGGCCAGGGGCCCCTATAAGAACCCCTGCACAGGGGCTGCTCTCTTCCTCCTTTTGCTTTTACCCCTTTTTGCTTTCCCCTTTTTCCCTGCTCTTGTTCTAGTCTCCTATGGGACTGACCCATGGGCTCAATCCAGGCATGGAGGCATCCATGCCTGGAAACTTATTTTACTCCACTTTTACTTCTAAATAAAGACTTAATTTGATTGCATCCTTGCGTGCTGACCTTTTCTTGGAAGCGCCCTCAACGAACCATCATTCTTCGTGAGATCCCTCACAGAATAGGTCAAGATTCTGAGGTCACCTCAGAAAGCAGCTTTTACATGCTTTCTCTAGTGTACAAGACAGAAGAAAGTATGTTATAATATTCTTTCCTATTTTGAACTAGAGCTTGCAACTGGCAAGTTGTCTTGGATTTTTTTTTTTTAAAGGGAGGTTATTAAACTGACTTCTGCATTTCAAATGTATGAAAGAAATTCAGCCAATTAAAGAGTTTATATAGAAATATTTGAAATCAATTATATGAATGAAGACAATGAAATAATATACCAATGTTAAATAATTGCTGGGGGGGGGGTATAACAAACAATATTTCAAGCCCAACATATAAAAGAATCAAATAAGCAGTAATAATCTATGAGAAATTAATATCTTTGTCAGTTTAAAAAGGGCAACTCTGTAGGTTGTGTTTTGAGTCCAAGTTTGGTTGAGCCCTGCTGGATGGTGATGTAATGAAAGGGCTTAGGGATTGCTATTATGGTTCTGCCTGAAGAAGGTAGAGCTTTGTTATGTAGAATAGACTGGCTCAGGCCTTAATGGCCCATTGACAAAGGTGGGAGGGGGGGCTGAGTTTCTGCCTCCCTTTTAAAAGGGAAATATTCTTCCCTTTTAATATATCCTAAAATATCTCATTTTCCTAGGAGGGGGTGGATGCTAACTTCCTACACTACCAATAGCTTCTCTTTTATCTTAGATCAACTATAATGTCATCAACCAGACAGCTGAGCAAAATTATCGTTTTCCTTCTTCATATCGGATGACCCCAAATAAAGAACCTCCTTACTCAGCAATTGTGCAGCTGCTCCTGCAGTTCCAATGGACGTGGATCGGCCTCCTTTCTCAGGACAATGAAAAAGGAGAAAAATTCAAAAGACGCTTGGAAGTTCTTGCTCTAAAAAATGGGATTTGCATTGTCCTCTCAGGAACCGTCCCAGAAGCAAATCTGAAGACAAGTGCTGGAGAAATTCACATGCAAGAAAAAAGAAAAATGTTCCTTTCTCTTATCAAGAGTCAAATAAAAATTATTGTATGCCAACTGGATTTTCAGGCCTCAGTAATATTAGCAGCAATAATACAAACGATTGATACATCCATTGTGGGAAGGGTGTGGATTGCAACAACTTTGACAGCTTTAAGCGTAGATACTTTTAATCTCTGGGTTGATCTCCAAAATAAATATGCTTTGTTTTCCTTCCTCATCCAGACAAAGAGAAAGACTCAGTATGATGACATTAAATCTTATGCATCTATGGTCATATTGTATGGAAAGGAAGTGTTCCAATGTTCTTATACAAGTCCTGGGTTATCTAAGAAAGTTTGGAAAAAATGCAGAGAAAAAGAGAATTGGGAATTCCCACCCCATGATGTGATTGCAAGAATCCTGTCTCAGGATTCCTCCAGTATTTCCCAAATAATTCAAATTGTGGCCTGGGTCCTCAGTGCTGCCTCTTCCTCCCAACGGAGTAAGAGGAGAATGCAAGTTGGAGACCATCAACCACCCCAGATTGTACAGCCATGGCAGGTAAGTCTTCTCCTTTGAGGTTCCATTGATTCTCCCAAGAGATGACCTTCTACTTCTCTGACAATCAGCTGGGAGCAAACCGGTTCGCTCCAATGAGCAGGTCAGCCCATCCACCCATCCCTGTGCTTTACTTACCTTTATCTTCTCAGCTGATTGGCGCAGAAGAGTGGATTGCCACACCTCAGCTGCATTACTCCCTAGTGGTAACACAAAAGGTTAGTATTTCTAAACCTCCACCCGCGCAGGATGAGCATGTGCGTACACGAAGCACGCAATCACAGAATTGGTCGTTAAACTGGCAGGATCCCACCACTGATTCTCCCCTTCCAATTCCTCAATATTAAATTAAATGTAGAAAGGGGTGAGATATTCCAAAGAGCAGTTGCCCAGTCTGTAGTATTTGAGAGTGAGTGTCAACCCTGAAACTGACCTGACCGAGGCCATTTTCATTTATTTCATTTCATTTCATTTATTAGATTTCTATACCGCCCTACTCCCGAAGGACTCAGGGTGGTGCACAGCCAAACAATAAAAACACATACAATACAAAATTTAAAAAATAGAATAAAATCAAATTAAATAATTTTGGCCCCGACTTTTAAAACCAATTTAAAATTGAATATATAAATACTAAAAAATGTTTAAAATTTTAAAAATCTTTTATAAAAGAGGGGGAAAATTAGGCCAGGCTGGCCTGGTGAAATAATAAGGTCTTTAAGGCACGGCGGAAGGTGCGCAGATCCGGGATCCTCCGTATCTCTGGGGGGAGCTCGTTCCAGATAGTAGGTGCCCCCACAGAGAGGGCTCTCCCCCTGGGGGCCGCCAGTCGGCATTGTTTGGCTGACGGCACCCGGAGGAGCCCCTCTCTATGGGAGCGTACCGGCCGGTGGGAGGCTATTGGTGGTAGTAGGCGGTCCCGCAAGTACCCGGGTCCTAAGCCATGGAGCGCTTTAAAGGTGGTAACCAAAACCTTGAAGCACACCCGGAAGACCACCGGGAGCCAGTGCAGCTCACGCAGGAGAGGTGTTACATGGGAACGCCATGTCGCTCCCATTACCACCCGCGCGGCCGCACTCTGCGCCAGTTGGAGCCTCCGGGTGCTCCTCAAGGGGAGCCCCATGTAGAGAGCATTGCAATAGTCCAGGCGGGAGGTGACAAGGGCATGAGTGACCGTGCGTAAAGAGTCCCGATCCAGAAAGGGACGCAACTGGCGAATCAGGCGAACCTGATGAAAAATCCTCCCGGTCACGGCCGTCGAGTGCTCTTCTAAAGACAGCCGTGAATCCAGGAGGACGCCCAAGTTGCGAGCCCTCTCCGTGGGGGCCAATGATTCGCCCCCAATAGTCAGTGATGGCGTCAACTGACTATATCGGGACGTCGGAAACCACAGCCACTCAGTCTTGGATGGGTTGAGCCTGAGCCTGTTCCTCCCCATCCAGATCCGTACGGCCTCCAGGCACCGGGACATCACTTCAAGGGCATTGTTGGGGTGATCCGGGGTGGAGATGTACAGCTGGGTGTCGTCAGCGTACTGATGGTACTCCACCCCGAAACCACGGATGATCTCGCCCAGCGGCTTCACATAAATGTTGAACAGGAGAGGCGAGAGGACCGACCCTTGTGGCACCCCACATATGAGGGGCCTCGGGGTCGACCTCTGTCCCCCTGTCAACACAGACTGCGACCGGTCAGAGAGAAAGGAGGAGAACCACCGCAACACAGTGCCTCCCACCCCCAACTCTTCCAACCGGTGCAGCATGATACCATGGTCGATGGTATCAAAAGCCGCTGAGAGATCTAACAGGACCAGGACAGAGGAGCACCCCCTGTCCCGAGCCCTCCAGAGATCATCAACCAACGCGACCAATGCCGTTTCCGTGCTGTACCCGGGCCTGAAGCCCGACTGGAACGGATCCAGATACATCGTTTCATCCAGGTGCTGGGGGAGCTGTTGCGCGACCACACTCTCAACAACCTTCGCAACAAAGCGAAGATTGGAGACCGGACGATAATTTACCAACATTGCCGGGTCCAGGGAAGGCTTCTTGAGGAGAGGCCTCACCACCGCCTCTTTCAAGGTGGCGGGAAAGTCACCCTCACTCAGCGAAGCGTTTATAATCCCCTGGAGCCAGCCTCGTGTCACTTCCCGGGAAGCCAGTACTAACCAGGAAGGACACGGGTCCAATAAACAAGTGGTCACGTTCAGTCTACCCAGAATCCTGTCCACGTCCTCAGGGGTCACAGGATCAAACTCATCCCAGATAACATTCTCAAGACCTGCCCCTGTCTCTCCCCCTGAGACTACCCAGTCGGAGTCCAAATCTTCCCGAATCTGAGTGATTTTGTCATACAGATACTGAACAAAATCCTCGGCTCTACCCTCCAAGGGGTCCTCCCGCGCTTCCTGGTGGAGCAGGGAGCGGGTCACCCTAAAGAGGGCGGCCGGGCGATTATCTGATGATGCAATAAGAGCAGCAAAATAACTACATTTCGCTGCTTTTATCGCCACTAAGTAATTCCTAATGTGGGATCTTACTAGTGTCCGGTCAGATTCAAGAAGACTGGCCCTCCAACTACTCTCTAGGCATCTTTTCCAGTGCTTCAACTCCCTCAGCTCCTTGGTAAACCAAGGAGCCAATTGAGATCGGCGCCGGGTCAGAGGCCGCAAAGGCACGACCCGATCCAGAGCACCAGCAGCCGCCCTATCCCAGGCGGCCACCAGGTCTCCAGTCGAGGCGTGTGCCAGAACCTCAGGAAATGGCCCAAGCTCTGTCTGGAATCTGTCAGATTCCATCAGGCGCCTGGGGCGGAACCATCTTACCGGCTCCGCCTCCCTGCGGCGGGGTGCAGCGGTTCAAAAGTCGAGACGAAGGAGAGAGTGATCTGACCATGACAAGGGTTCAGTAACTATATCCCCTATATCAAGATCCCTCAACCACTGTCCAGAGACAAAAACCAGATCCAGCGTGTTTCCCCCTGTGTGGGTAGGGCCATGAATTAACTGGGTCAGGTCCATAGCTGTCATGGAAGCCATGAACTCCCGAGCCATCTCTGACGTCTCGCCCACGGACGGCAGGTTGAAATCCCCCATGACCATAAGCTTAGGGGTATCAACCGCCACCGCGGCGATGACGTTGAGTAGCTCGGGCAGGGCTGTTGCCACGTGGCAGGGAGCCAGGTACGTGATCAGCAAACCCATCTGAACCCCATGACCCCATTTCACAAAAAGGGATTCACAGCCGGCCGTCTGAGGAACAGTGGCCTCCCTCGGTCTCAGACCTTCTTTAATGATAACCGCTACCCCCCCGCCCCTCCCCTGTGACCTCGGCTGATGGAATGCTTGGAAACCTGGCGGGCACATTTCAACGAGGGGAAACCCCCCCCTCCTGGCCCAACCAGGTCTCCGTAATACCTGCCAGGTCCGCACCCCCCTCCTGAACATTTTAATGCTTCAGTGTTGCCATACTGGAGCTGAGGGATATCGATGGGGAAAATAGAGATAGCTGGGGTTTTATAAACAAAACAACATATTTTCTCCTGGGAACCAAGGACATTCCCACTGATGGCCGGAGGGAGGATGAGTGAAGTCACCAGGCAACCGAATGATTGGACCATGTGACTGATTGTTTGGAAAGAAGAGGAAAACTTTTACTTTTAATTAGGTGAAAACTGTAGGAACATTTAGAGTCAGTTTTCACCAACCTATGCCTATATGACATGTCCAATAAAACTGATATTTGAGGAACCTGCTTGCCTCAGAGTCTTGTTTGCTATGGGTGTATTAATTGGAACCCTGACATTAAACCGACTCTAATTGGGTTTTTTTTTCAAGTTTTTTTATTTTTTATTTAATTTTTTACAAATATATCAATGTGTGAACAGTGTGGCACCTGAGTGACTTACATTTTGGTAGAAATAAAATAATATTCATCATATTTACTATAGTTGACAAGTTTATATAGTTCTTGTAATAGTACTCATATTTTGTTGAATTATAATCTTACATTATTTGTTATTCAATATTTCAATATGTTATTTTTATGCCACTCACCATATTATTCAAACATTCTTAATACTACCATCGTTCACATTCTGATTTCCCCTCTTATTATTACTTCGCCTAATTTTGCCACTATTATATTGAAAAATATTCCCTTTCTATCCACATTTTAATAAAGATTTAGAGTCAGTTTTCAGCAGCCTATGCCTAATAGATATGTCCAATAAAACTGATATTTGAGGAACCTGCTTGCCTCAGAGTCCTGTTTGCTATGGGCGTATTACTTGGAACCCTGACGGTGAGTTAGAGAGAGATGATAGAGAAAAATCTTCCAAAGTTAAACAATCTGTGCTAGTTTGGGATGCTTTTGTGACAGAAATAGCTCTATGGTGACAACATAATTTTCAAAACTAAACAAGCATCAGAATATTCCATCAATCCTCAACCCTTTATTGTGATTACAGAGTGGTCTCCAAGCTAGGGAGTTCAGCTGGATTGTTTGTTCTGGATTAAGATTGAACTTTGCTGGCTAAAAGTTTCTAACATAGCAACAAGATATTAATCAAAGCATCTTCTGGGGGCAACAAAAGGTTCATCCACACATCTTCTGAACTAATGGATATGCATCTTGATCAGGATTGATGGCAAAATTGTATTCTCCATCTTCTACCATTACAAGTTTTCCCATATCTGCAAATGGTCTTGCCTCAGATGGGGCTGTGAAGCAGCAAAACATAAAACATAGAATAATAAGAGTTTGAAGGGATCTCAGAGGTTTTCTAGTCCAACCCACTACTTGACCAGGAGACCCTATACCAGAGATGGTTAACCTTTTTGGTGCCGAGTGCCCAAAGCACGCATGTGCATGCATGAATGCACGTGCATGTGCCAGAACCCCCAAAATGCAATGCGAGTGCCCCACACACATGCGGCCCATTTTGGGCTTGGAAAGCCTCCTGCACCAATCTAGAAGCCAAAACAGGGCATGGGGGCACCGTTCGAGGCACCCCCGCATCCTATTTTGGGCATAGAAAGTCTCCTGCACCAACCTGCACCCCTTCATGCATGCACCCACCCACCCTGCACATGCACGGCAGACACCCAAAGACCCAGGCGGGAGGTGCACGTGTATGCACAATGGAGCTGGGCTGGGGCGACAGCTGGCCTGTCTTCAGAGAGGACTCTGCATGCCACCTGGGGCACATGTGCCAAAGGTTTGCCATTACGGCCGTATACCATTTCAGACAAATGATTGCCCAGGTCTCTTTTTGAAAGCCTCCAGTGATGGAGCACTCACAACTTTTGAAGGCAAGCTATTCCATTGGTTGATTTCTTTCACCATTAGAAAATATCTCCTTAATTTTAAGTTGCTTCTCTCCTTCATTAATTCCCAACCATTATTTCTTGTCTTGCCTATAGGTGCTTTGAGAAATGTTTTGACCCTCTCATCTTTTTAGGAGCCTGTCAAATATTATAAAAGTGATATCATTTTTCCCCAGTCCTTCTTTTACTTAGACCAGACATACCAAATTCCTGTAAGTGTTCTTGGTATGTTTTAGCCTCCAACCCCCTAAACAATTTTTGCTCATCTCTACAGTCTTTCCAAAGTTTCAATATATTTCATATCATTTTGTTAGGTAGGGGCCCATGTTCAATTTGTCAAGATCTTTTTGGATCTTGAGCTTGTCTTCTGGGGTGTTGGCTATTCCTGCCAGCCTAGTGTCATCTGCAAATTTGATGAATTCCCCTTCAATTCCCTTGCCTAGATCTTTTTTGAACATATTGAAGAGTGCTGGGCCTAAAATGGAAGCTTGAGGTTCCCCATTGCTTCCTTCCCTCCATGTGGATGAGGTTCCCCAGAGGATTACATGTTGAATATAATTTGTCAGCCAGTTACAAAGCCACCTGATGGTGGTGTTATCTATTCCATGTTTCCAAGAATGTGAGATAAATATCATATTTTTCCCACTATAAGATACACCTGACTATAAGACACAACTAAATTTAGAAGGGGAAAACAATAAAAAAAAGTTGTTGGCCTCTGCGCACTTCATTTTTGGCCCTTTTCTAGCCCTTTTTTGGCCCATTATTGAGGCTTCTTTTTGGCCCGGTTTTGGGGCTTTTCTTGGCCCATTTTTAGGCATTTTCAGCCCAAAAAAATCCTTGAAAACACAACAAGAAAAGCCTCAAAAACAGGTTGAAAAAAGCTCCAAAAATGGGCCAAAAAAGGCCTGAAAAAGGCCAAAAAAGGCCTGAAAATGAGGTGTCCAGAGACCAAAAAACCGCCGGTGGATGGCCGAGGCTTCAACAATATTCGGTCTATAAGACGCAGAGACATTTCACCCCTTTTGGGAGACAAAAAAGTGCATTTTATAATCCGAAAAATTCAATATTTGAAAAAGAGCTGTAAATTCCTGGAGAATGACTGAAAGAAGCTTCCCATGAAATGCTGACTCAATCTGCTTCAGACTGCAGTGGTGATTTGAAGAGGTTGAATTATTCAGAGAACCTCCAATCCAGAATAATAGCAAGAAAAAAAACATTGAATAAAGGCTCAAATTGGAATGTCTTTTTTCCTATGTTTCTGCAGCTTCATAGGTTCCTGAGAAACTTCCAACATCACAATATTTCCAGAGATGGGATTTCCTTTGATGAAAATGGAGTTCCTGTTGATGACTTTGATATCATGCAGTGGACATCAGTTTTGAACAAATCACATGTGGGGGTGAAAATTGGGACTGTAGAAAGACAAGCCTCCTCGGAAGTCAAGATTTCTGTCAATCAAAGTGCTATCCAATGGCCAACTTTATTTAACAAAGTAGTTGAGGCTGCTTGAATTTTGCTCATCTTTTTATCACCATATGTGGAAATTTTTCTGCTCAGAAATAATTCTTATTGAGGCCAATTGAGATAACTTCCAATAAGAGAATTTAAAGCCTCATTAATTCATTAGATATCATTTTACTTTAGAGGTTTTACAATAATCTATCATACAATGGAACCTGCTGCATTGTATTGAGGGATTTGCAATCTACATTATTAAATTTGGATATGTTGCCATAATTTATAGTACATCAAATTATCTTGTTTTCAGTAAGAGAAAATCCAGAATGTCTATGGAGATTCTCAGTCATCCAGGTTGTATTAAAGGTGCTTTTTCAAAAGGCACCTGGACTTTGTTTTCCCTTGAAGATGTTTCACTTCTCATCCAAGAAACTTCTTCAGTTCTGACTGAATGGTGGAGAATGGAAAGATTTGGAACCAATGAAAAGACTGTGTTGTAAACAGGATATAGATTCAGCAATTGCAGGAAGGTTCCACACCCATTTGCACTATTCAGGTGACCCTGAGGGCACAGATAAATTCCAAGTGGCCTCAACAACTTTCAGAAAGACTGCTAACAACCAGATGACTGCAAGGAATATAAATCCTTCCATACTCCACCATTCAGTCAGAACTGAAGAAGCTTCTAGAATGAGAAGAGAAACATCTTCAAGGGAAAACAAAGAGGTGTCTTTTGAAAAAGCACCTTTGGGAGAAAATCTAGAATATGAAGGGTTTAGTCCACTGAATTGCATAAGAGAAAGATATCACTAAGAATGTGGTGAAGGAAATGAGGGTTGCTAAAAAACTCATTTACATATGATGATACAATGATCAGTTGTAGGAGAAAAAGATAGGGACTCTAGAGAAATCTAGATGTTGGAGGTTTTCTGAGAAAGTAAAGATGGAGAAAAAATATATACCGTATTTTCCAGAGTATAAAACGCTCCTGAGTATAAGACACACCTTTGTTTTGGGGGAGGAAAATAAGAAAAAAAAATCTGCCTCTGCCTACCAGCATCCATCAGTATTCATCTGGCTAGCATCCTGTCAGTGTGTGAGAGAGTTGAGGGCTTTTTGGAAACTGAAATAGTATTTGCTGTGTGAGCAACAAGGAAGGAGGCAGCAAGGAGCCTGGGCGTGGTTTAAGTCAATTGTTGTAAAGCTGCATGCTGTGCTAATCTCTGAAACTAAAACTGAAACTAAAACTCCTCTCCTCTGCTTGTTTTTTCCTTGCTGCTCTGTGCCTCACGTTTCTGGCTACATTCGGTTATAAGACACATTCAAATTTTCACCCTCTTTTGGGTGAGGGGGGGGAGTGCGTCTTATACTCTGAAAAATATGGTAAGTTATAGCATTCTTATACATGCCCTAAGAAGAAACACCTTTTGCAATGGAACTACTTCCCTTTGGAAAAAAGAATTAGGCAATGAGTCTGTTTTGGGATCTACAAAGTAGACTGATAGAAAAAGAGAATGACCTTTCATTTGCTCCTTGCAAGTAGAGTAATTAAAGTTCATGCCACTATTTCTTGACTGATTTTGCTCAATGTGCTCCTGAGCTTCTGGAAGCCACTTGATTTCAGTAAATCCTTGTAATTCATATATCAAACTGATTAATCTTTCTGTTTATGTTTAGATGGTGCCTTATTCAAGATGTACAGAAAGTTGCTCCCCAGGTTATGCCAAGCTTGAGAGAGAGGGAGCCCCAGTTTGCTGCTATGACTGTTCTCTGTGTATGGAAGGAACATTCTCTGGGCAAGAAGGTACAGTAGGTGGCTCCAAAAATAACCCAAAAAATTCAAGATACAATCAATATTCTATCTTGTTTTTTGTGGGGGGGAGTATTTGATCAAGAAGTAAGAAAAACATTAAATTTCTTGAAGGCATCCACGAACTTCAAAGATTGGGCACTATCGCCAAATTTGGATGGTGATGTGAGCATTAAAATAAATAATGAAAGGTTGCTAATTTCTATTGAGTTGTTACTTTCTTGCTTTGTTTTAGGAAAGAAGTTTTGAGAACTAATCATCACATTCATCTTCAGCCTTTAAAAAGAGTGCTAACTAATGTTGTGTCATATAGATATCCATGGGAGAAATATTATATTATTCCTTGAAAATGGAGTAATTGATTTCTGATGCAGTTTTTATGCTCCTACAGCTGCAGAAACAGATTCATGCCAACCATTTTCTTTTCTCAGATGCAGCCCATTGTGAAAAGTGTCCAGATGACCAGTATTCCAATAAGAAGCGAGATCAGTGTGTCCCCAAAAATATAAGCTTTTTATCCTACCAAGAATTGTTGGGACTCATCCTGGCTTTCTTTGCCATTGCTTTGTCCCTAACCACCACCTTTATTCTGGGAATCTTCATGAAATACCGAGACACTCCCATAGTCAAAGCCAACAACTGTGAACTCACCTACATCCTCCTGGTTTCACTCCTGCTTTCTTTCTTGACCTCCCTTCTATTCATCGGTCGCCCCGTGAAAATGACCTGTCTCCTTCGACAAACCATTTTCAGTATTGTTTTCTCAGTTGCTGTGTCTTCCTTGCTGGCCAAGACTGTCATGGTGGTGGTGGCCTTTCTGGCCACAAAGCCAGGCAGCAACATGAGGAAATGGCTGGGGAAGAGTCTGGCCAACTCTATTGTTTTATCCTGCTCTGGTATTCAAGTAGGCCTCTGTATGATGTGGCTGGGAATCTTTCCCCCATTCCCAGATTCTGACTTTCATTCCCAACCAGAACACATCCTGCTGCAGTGCAATGAAGGCTCTGTCACCATGTTCTACTCTGCTCTTGGCTACATGGGTTTTTTGGCTGCCATCTGTTTCTTGGTGGCATTTCTGGCTCGAAATCTCCCAGGGGCCTTTAATGAAGCCAAACTGATCACCTTCAGCATGTTGGTTTTTTGTAGCGTTTGGATCTCCTTTGTTCCCACCTATCTGAGCACCAAGGGGAAATACATGGTAGCCGTGCAGATCTTCTCCATCCTGGCCTCTGGCCTGGGTTTACTGGGCTGCATCTTTATCCCCAAATGCTACATTATTATCCTGAGACCTGACATGAACACCAAAGAACATCTCATGATAAAAAATCATTAAGGTTCCTTGTGTTGGTGTTTAATTTTGTACAGTTTACATGCAATATAAAATCACATATTTTGAAGTAATGTTTTATGCATTGTCGCTTATCTTTCTTCGTTCCATGTGAATTTTGAATTATAATAATTGAGTAGTAAAGTTGCTAAAACAACTCAAACTATTTGAAATAATCATATCCTTTAATTGTCATAATCTGAGTTCATATTATGACATTAATAAAATTTCTGAAACCAGGCCAGTTAAACTGTGACCAGAGATGTTCTGATATGGTTTTAGATTAAATTAAAGACTATAGCTATTTTTTTAAAAAGTTTTTTTTAATTTTTTACACAAACACACATACAAACATACAATGTATTTTTTCTGAACAGAGTATTTGGCCAGTTGACAAATTTAAACAATTTTTAGTCATTTCAACTAAATTACAATTTCTATACTTCCTTTTTGCCATAATATTTATTCTCTCTATTTTTTTTAAAGAAAATATTACCCTTCATCCTAACCTCTAATCTTAACCAAATTTCAATTTTTTCCTTCCATTCTATATTGTACTCCTCAAATTTAAGATCTCACCTAATATGATTCCTAGTATTTCCTTATATTCCTTTATTATAATTACTGATGTTTTCCATTGTCATCTATTTCAATATCCATCACCTTACTACAAATTAATTAATTATGTGGTGTAACAATCATTCATTTCTTATAAGAAAAATAAACCCAATTGTTTTGTAGCATACATTTTCTTAAATAATACAATCCAAAATCTTAATAAAAGTCACTTAGTTATATAACTAATTAACTTTTCTCTTTATATGGTAATCATAAACACAATAACTTTCCCCATATACTTCTTTGTATAAATTCCAAAAATATAGACATGAATATCCCAATTATTACAATTTCCATACAATCCAGCTTCTTAAGAAGTCCGTTAATTATGTAGCCATCTTTTCTTTTTACATGATGATAATAAACCAAACAGCTTTCACCATATATTCCTCAAAACCACAACTTAGTTTCTGCTTTCACCACAATATACCATTAAAAGTATTTCAATTATTACAATTTCCCTAACTGGATTTGAAAATAATCTAGCTTTTATCCTCTAATTTATTAAAGTTATTCATATTTCTAAAAACCTATCATTATCTAAATTCCAGAAATGCAGATAAAAATGTTCCAATTGTTATTCAATTCATTTATACATTCATATGATTTTCCATTATTTCTTACTTCAATTCATATTTCAATTCTAAATATATATAGCATATTCCTCTTTCATTTCTTTCTCCTTTTCTCCCTTTCTATTTTTATTTTTGCCTTTTTCTTTCCCCCTTTTTTTTCTTTTGTGCTTTAAAATCTTGAACTCTCCTGTTTTGCCCTATATTTCCCATTATTTCCCATCTCTTTTCCCTTTTTCTTATTTTCCCACTGTTAATTCCAGTGTAATCATTTTGTATTTCGAAGTCCTGGACTCTTCTATTTTGCCCTGTATTTCCTGCTGTTTTCCACCCTTTTTCTCTCTTTTTTGTCTTTCCACTGTTAATCCCAGTGTAATCATTTAAATTTTTTATATTCTTTCTATTCCACCCTTCTTTCCTTCTTTGTCTCTGTCTACCCTCTCTGTTTTTTCCATTGTTAATCCCAATGTAATCTCTAAAAGCCTCCTTTTTATTGTTACTATCCACGTAATCATTTAATTTTCCATAGTCAATCTTCTTGTCTTTATCTTCTTCTTTATTTTCAGTCTCTGTGTCTTGCTTCTCCGTCGTTATTTCCTTGTCAGCTTGAGTTTGTTCTGTCACAATTTTTGGATCCTCAGGTTTCGATTCTCCATGTAATATTATAATTATTTCCCTTATTTCCGTTTTCCATGACGAGTACTTCATTTTTATTATTTCTCTAATTTCCTGCGCCATTTTATTCTTTCCAGGTTGGTATTGTTCCAATTTAAAAGTTCTGTTGTATTCCTCTTTTTTTTGTTGTTCAAAGTCAAAGTCAAGCCGCTTGCAGACAAAGAAATCCTCCTCAAAAGTTCTCATGGCTGTTATTACTAATAAAGTTCAGAGTTTTCCAAAACAAAAGTTCCAAATTGCAATGTTCTTATTTCTCCTGAAGATGTCTTTCTACAATCCAAAATTCCAATCAGCAGTCTGACAAAGTATCCATTTTGTTTCAATAATAGTCTTTACTAGTTTCTCTTTCTTCTTTTTAACTTTGAAGATGCCAAATCAGTTTTAGAGTCCAGTCCAAATTAAACAATACTTTCTCCCCCCACCTTTTTTTTTTAGTATAGCACTTCTATTGCAGGGCTTATTTTCCTATTTCTCTTTTGTTTTTCTTAATGTTAAAAAAAAGGATCTACTTATTTTCTTTCCAATCCTTTAGCCAATTTTGGGGTTATTTCTTCTAATTTTTAAAGTTCTCCAAATAATTTTATTCAAAAGTCAATTTTCTTTTCAGGTTTTTGTCCATTTAAATTCCACTTCAAACATCCTCTTTTATTTCCCCCCCCCCATGCCCATTAGCCACTATTATCATGCTGGGGGTCTTTCAAATTTAAAAATCTTTTTTTGTTATTTCGCCTATGAGTTGACTGTCACTCACCCAGCTTCTAAACTCTGTTCCAGTCACTGCTCCTACTCAATACTTGGCCTGGTTGCCCCAGATTCTTGGCAGCCACAATGGCCACCACCCCCGCTGCCAAGTCAGAGAGAGTTTCCTCTGACCTTCGAGTAACTTGCCTGTTCTTCTTGGTCTTCTGAGGTGCCTCTCCTGTATATATTTGATTGATCTCTTCTGGCTCCATAATGTAAGATCCTTGATAGATAAATGAGATAGATAGATAGATAGATAGATAGATAGATAGATAGATAGATAGATAGATAGATAGATAGATAGATAGATGATAGATAGGGAGGGGGAGTGAGTGAGAGAGAGAAAGAGAGAGAGAGAGAGAGAGAGGGAGAGAGAGATGGATGGGGGATATCAAGAAAGAGAAAAACAGAGAGATAGATAACATTCTGTATATTAAGAATAGATAAAATATCAACATGAACGTTGGAGCAACTTTACTTTTTTTCTCTGTCCCTTTGAATAAATCAATGAGACAAATTATTATTTTTGACAGCCTTCAATCAAAAGAAAAATATGTACAACTCTGAATGATTTGGGGGTGGGAATCATGTAGACATGATGTGACAAGGAAGATGTGCTTATGAGTATTAAAATTAATTCCTGTTTTTTATCCATGTCCATAAAGTGGCCAGGGGGGCTTTTTATCAGGTTCGCCTAATATGCCAGTTGTGCCCCTTTCTGGACCAGGACTCCCTACGCACGGTCACTCAAGCACTCGTCACCTCTCATCTGGACTATTGTAACGTTCTCTACATGGGGCTCCCCTTGGGGTACACCCAGAGGCTCCAACTGGTACAGAATGTGGCCGCGCGGGGGATTATGGGAGCGACGGGGCGCTCCCATGTGACTCCTCTCCTGCACGAGCTGCATTGGCTTCCAGTGGACTTCCGGGTGCGCTTCAAGGTGTTGGTGATCACCTTTAAAGCGCTCCATGGCTTAGGGCCGGGGTACTTACGGGACCGCCTTCTGCCATCAATAGCCTCCCACCAGCCAGTTCGCTCCCACAGAGAGGGCCTCCTCA